AAGCGCCAGCGGTGGCTACTGTCATGCTTGCCCTATTTGATTCAGCCTACGACGAGTAATTGGTTTTCTCAAGAAATAATTGTCATCATTATTGGCCAGGAGCTGTTCAATGCTAAACTAAAGGATCCCCAAATCGTGATGCGACGATCCGTAGAGCACCTTTACATGAACCTACGTAATCAATCCATCTCCGCGGAGGACGACAAGTTCAATCCAACGATAAATACCGCAGTGGCTAAAATATATACCAAAGTACATGAAAAATAACGTGGCATTGGGCATCCATCCCAGGACTTGAGACTCAGTTGAGGCTTTGCTGGGTAAAATAAAGGACCATATTATTATTGGATAGATCATCATTGCAAAAAGTTAATGAACTTAGCACATCACAACAAACGCACATGATTGGTGGGTAACTCTACACAAGTTCCGAAAACAACACAAGGCTGAGTTGGAGCGTCGATTGAATAGATGTCTGAAGAAGAGCGGTTACGATCTTTTAGATTTTCTCTGTTCAACGGCAGAGTTTCTGATGAACATGTTGAGTTATATTGGCATGTATGCCACTGCCAAAGCACTCGTGCTTTCAAATTACAGAACGCGGTCTGAGAGCGCAAACACTGTATTGTAATACCGAAGCAAGCTTGTGTTTACTCTCCAACACACCGATGTGCTGTACTAGCAACAAATTGGTATGTTGTGTTTACGTGACAAGCCTTACTAATTGGCTGTGTCGGGTGGTGGCGGGTTTAACGACACATTTATATTTACGCGATCTAACCCAAAACACATCTATTGTGGATATGTTAATAAGTATACAAGTTATGGGTTAATACGCACACGTTGTCAAACAAACGCTTTAACGATAGTGTTATATCAGTTAAGGATCACTGTAATCTGTTTATCAAGTAATGGAATTAAGTGTAAAACATTAATTAATTAATCAATACTGTAATGCGTTTATATTTTAGCATTGGTATGTACTATTAAAGTACAATTTGCAACTATTTACTCGTAAGGTATATTACAATGAATGTATGAATTAAATTGTTTAACGCATAGATTCTGTTGATTATGTTGTGACTGTTTTGGGAGTTATGTACCAGTATCATGAATAGCAATTTGCTCATTCTAGATTTGAAGTTTTCGTGACTGCAAGGATCCATATTCTTGGTTCTTTCGGTAAAGTCACGTAGGTAAAGAAAAAAAAAGATACAAAATCAAGAAATGACATCACGACGTTTCGATTGCAACCGAAGCAATTTCTTGCTGTGGTTGTCACACCTGATGATGATTGCTTCTGTTGCAATCGAAACGTCGTGACTTTATTTATTTATTATTTTTTATTTTCTTTACCTACGTGACTTTACCGAAAGAACCAAGAGTAACAATTTGCTCAACTATTATAGAAAAATCTAAATTACTGAAACTCAATTTAACAAAAAAACAAATGATCATCACCATTACACTGCTGTCACTATACAATTCCTGTTACAAAACATAAAAAACAACATTTAATATGCAAAATATATTTACAAGCCGTTCTGTCACAAAAACAATGGAAATTGCAATGCAAATTAGAACATACAGATTGTTTTTTCTCGTCACAACCTGCGAATTTTGGAAGTGAAGTCGTTTACCCCCACCCTTCCTCCCCGTGGAGCGATGCATGCAATCCACTAACTTTTATTCACTTCCATGGAACGCCCGTTATGAATATTGTGAATATGGGCGTTTCTATAACCTGAGAAATGTAGTTTCGCACAGATTAAGGAAGGCAGTAGCAGGCAAGCGGCTTTCAAATAAAAAATATATAACGGCAATTTCATAAAATTACAAATACATAACTTTTAGGCGACATCACAGCTTTTGGCAGTTTTTATAATAACTCCAAAAGGCACTGCTCTAATCTGTTGCTTATATTCCCAACGCGTTTTTTTTTTCATTTAAAAAAGCACAAACCGCAATCAAGAAAATAAATACATTACTTAGCCCCGTGCGGCAAAAACCACTCAACCAGAACCGCATTTCATCAGCAGCCTAAAGAGGCAAAATTATGGCTTTTAAGATTGCTGCCGTGGAAAAAAAAATGGAGAACCGATCCACAGGGAGCCATTTCTCATTTCATTTTAAATTCTCGGTAATAGCTCCTTTTCGCGTACTTTGCAAATAGCGCTAATCCACCCACGTACGAGAAACGGCACAACCTAGCCGCCGCGCACGGAGAGAGCGCTTTAACCTGTTAGTTACCGCACGCGCGCAGAACTACCCCGAAGCTTCTTCTCTATTTGCTCAAGCGCCGCGATAAGCATCGTAGGAAGAACCGAGCGGAATGAGCGGCCGGCGCGGCACGACGAGTAACGGTGTTGCGAGAGAAAGAAAGAGAGAGAGAGAAAAAGCATTGGACGGCTGTCGCAAAAAACTGTATGGGACGTGCACAATGGCGGAGCCCTCTTACTTTCTAAATAACGCGTTTTGTACAAAGCTTGCTACTTTTTTATCCAAATGCTCCCCGCAAACGTCTCAATAAAGCCAACACTTGGCCTTTGCACGAAGCAGAATTTATTTAATTCATCATTTAACGATTGAGTTTATTATAACGCAATGTGGTGGAGTTTTTGTTTACTGTGGTGATGATTCTGGATGTAATTACCAGCGAAACGGCGTACTCAGATTGTAAATGTTGTGGATTCACTCTTCAACACACTGGTGGGCTGAAGTAGTAACTATTTGCCGTTTTGTTTACGTGATAAATCCCTTACTTAATGGCCGTGTCGGGTGGTGGAGGGTTTAGACACATTTACACTTACGCGATCTAACCCAGACACCTTTATTATGAATAATATTGGTCGCGAAAGCCTATGTGTTCAACCAAATTAATCATTGATTCCAGCACCCTACAAAGACTCCGCGGAGAGAGTGCTGTCACAGAGAGCGCCTATTACGATCTACTCGACGAACACTTGCAACTGTATTCATTCATATCGCGTCTACTACGTGCAAAAACCACATCTCAAAATGTGGCACAGCCCGGGATAAATAAACCCGGGGCCCGGCTATATCGAGCCCCAGGGACAAGCCGGGGGCAGCCGGGAGCAGCCGGGGGCAGCACCAACGAGTCCCGGGACATCCTCGGAGGATGGGGGGGAGGGGGGAGGGGAGCAAAGCCGACTCACGACGACTAAGTGCCGGCACCTGGACCAGGCTTGGTGCACACTCGAGAGGCCACGTGTGGGGAGATGAAGGCGCAGAGTCGGGGAAGATCATCACGGAGCAGACCCAGGTGTTACGGGTTTACGGACTGATGTGAGCGGACGCTCGCTATCCGACTCGCACTCCTCCTCCACCTCCTCCTACGGTTGCTGGAAACGACGTCGAGGCCCATCATGGCTCCTCCCACCCTCAACCAGTATATACACAAGGACTGTTTTCTTGGAATTTCTCTTACTTGATACAGCTATCGTGCTCTGACGGTTCCACCTGAAGACGGAAGCTTGTGTTGCCTCCGAAACGTCGTGATTTTTTATTTTTTTTATTTTACTTTTATTAATTAAATTTTTTTTATCTACGTGACTTTACCGAAAAAACCTAAGAATATGCCCATCAAGACATTTGTGCCGGGATAGGTGCACTACGGGGTCATGTTAAGCGGTAAAGGCTCAATCGCAGGAGGTCTTGGGATAAGAGCCAGGTGTTAGGAGTGAACAGGGCAGCGACTGATAGGTTAACCACCTGTATTCCCCACTGCGCCAACACTCCTCGATTTAACCACCCAATACTCTGTTCATTGACGTGAGCATCGCTGCTTTTATTTTCCGTTGTTGCTGGAGGGCAACTGCCTCCAACTGCCCAGCAGCATTTTTCATGAGAGCCCCCCCTCCACCACAGAGGCTGATCTTGACACGGTGGGTACCAGTTGTCAACAAGTCCACTCAGTCCCACATCTGCCCATCTCTTATCTAGCGAGCGCGCTTTACCCGATTATCCCTCTCCTATCCAGCCACACAAGAGCCGATTTGGCATTTGGGTTACATGGCCCAGCCAACGCATCCTCGCCTGCCAAAAAGGAGTCAATTTCTAACGATTTACAAATAATATGAATGCCGTTTATTTATAAAGGAAAGCCTCACTGTATATGGAGAATCTTTATCAAGGGGGTTATACATTTGGAGATTTACTCTCTCTTGTGATGAGTGCTATGCATGCTGAATAAACGGGAGTACATGTAAAAAAAAACAAAGGCCACTCATAGGAGAGTATAACACTCTAAGGCATTAACATACATATTCATGAACCCACTTGCTGTACTGCCAACTCCTGGCCACCTCACATCGCAGAGAGCGATGCGAGGTGGAGCAAGTCCACCAAACTTCGCATGCAATGAGGCGTGCACCACCAGACCGAGATCTTTCAAGTATTTGCGAGCTCCTCACACCATCCAACCCGAGACTAATGCACGCATTCGTGATGGACCACAAGAGTGCGTGACTGACAAATGTTCAGACTTAGAATAGAAACTGCCATGGTGTAAAGTTCACCACGCAGGAAATGCAATCGAAGGGCTGCCGGGTTCGATCTTACGCCTCGGCAGTTGAAACAAGGGCCCAGGTTTTTCCCACATCTCCCCACTACACGGTGGTATAAATGGGCACACACCGCTGTTAGCCAATCATCAGGTCACGTCTGGTGGGGTAAAGTGTGGGTATTCTGGCCACCTCTAAGACCTGTGGCCAACATAGAAGAGACAGGCCGACAAACCCTCTTAGAGGGGCTCTCTGGAGGCTCCCCATAAGTCGAGGCTCTTCCTTGAGCAGGGGCACGAGCGAGCGAGCGAGCAATTGCAAGGCGGCGCCTGGCACCTCTTTACCGACATCACAGGCAGCTCACAGCAATGGCCCACCTACATACACTTCCACACACACACACAGCAGCAGCAGCAGCAACACAGGGGGACACCCGCGGTACATCGCACGCCCACCGGCCCAAAGCCTGCAACCTACCCGGCACGCGGACCTTGAACTTGCCACTCTGCCCAAAGCCGCCCTCGATGAGGCCCTGTTCGCCGGTGGACAGCGTGACTTTCATGCCCACGAAGAGCTGCATGTTGGTCTCCTTCTTGAAGAGCGACCGTCCGATCACTTCATACTCCCCGCTTGCCTACCGAGCACGCACACACATGTACGGTCAGACGAGGATGATTAACATATATTTGTTGGTGGTCGAGACCCGACCCCGATGCCTGTATATCTGGAGTTTGCAAGTTCGCCCCGTGGTCGCATGAACTTTTTCTCCAGGTCCCCTCCACATTTAAAAAAAATACATTCATAGTATTTGGCCGCTATAAATTTCCACACAATAAGCCACTTCGTTGAGCTATCATTTGTGGTCAGGTCGCTTCTGAAAACAAGCTACATAGCTCAATGGGCCTTACCTGGGGACAAAAAAAAACATTGTTTAGCTTTTATAGATTTAGCTAGATGGAGTGTTGCATTGCAATACCGTAGGAGATGGGGAAAGAATTGCTGAGGGTCACATCCTGCAGTGGATAGATCATGGCTGACGATGAGCATATGCAGTGCAAAGAGATCCAAAAGTAGCTGACTTTTACTGACACCTTGTGTTATTGTATACGAGTACGTGAAGTGTTATAATCAGTCACAACGACGTTATTTGTGTGTATCATTCTCACAATGCGTTTGAATCGTTCGTACGTGCATGAGGGCTGAGCCAACAAGTCCACAGTGTGATACCGGAAGCGACGTTGACACAGTTGCGTTATCCATCTCCACGTTTCCCTTCAAGTGAAATGTACTTGATCCCGCCAATCTCCCTAGGCTTTAATACTTTTGCACGGGGAGCTCTGTGTTGCTCCTCAAACCATAAATTCATATGACTTCACTGTCACTAGATCACTGCTTTCCTACCACGTGAGTATTTAACTGTGGAGACACAGAAGGTGCGGAGAACCAGGTCTGGAAAGTCTGGGTTCTCTCCAGATTTGTATTTTTAAAAAATAAAAATTTCTTCCAGTTCTCCCTGTAGATTTAGCATGTTTCTCAATTTTCACTTAACACACTGGGATGACTGAAAATACCCAAAAAAACACGAGGGTTAATCTATAATAATAACTAAATTCTTACAGGCCTTGTCAATACCCCTGCTCAACTCCCCCATGGGAAGGTTGAGTAGTTATGGGGTTGAGTGACCATACGTCACCATTTGACATTCCTCAAAGTCACGGGTGTAACCATCAACTGCATCAGAACATCCACAGGCCGATGTGCACATCTCCTTCATGAAAATGCTAAAAAAAATTAAGATAGGCGACAGTAGCAGGATTGTGGCTATGCAACCCAAACTTCGGACTGTACCATAAACCACACTGTGGTCTGTGCCACCGTCAACGGAGGAGGAGACGCAAAACCACACGAACGAACTCTCCCGAAATCCTCTCGCGACTATCGCACCTCGACATGGGCATTTAGCGCCTTAGGATATTGCCACCAAGACTAGAATAGAACCACTTTGGTCAGCTCGAGTTGGTGAATGGCAAACAAGAGTTAATCGACCGCTATGAAATGTGGCAATTAAAAAACACATTCCTGCGGGGGGAGCTGGTAGGAACGTTGGGTTGCTCGGTCAATTGCCAGGGTCAACGGCGGCGTGGTGTATTCCGCAAATATGCCCGACTGTGAGGGCGGACACAAGCCGGCGTGAGTAGGTTAAACGTTGAGTTTTATAAGGGCACCACGGGGTGACCAGCCCCTCCCCACCCAGCCCCACCCCTCCCACCCCCCACCCAGCCCCACCCTCCCCACCCAGCCCCTCCCCACCCAGCTCCACCCCTCCCACCCCCCACCCAGCCCCACCCTCCCCACCCAGCCCCTCCCCACCCTCCCCTCCTCACCCAGCCCCTCCCCACCCTCGCCATACCTGAACCAGTAGTGGGACACTTCCGCACTGACTCGTGTGGCTAAGTATGGTCAAACCACCGCATGACTGACACCACATGAAAAGGCTTTCATCCTTAACTGACTCTACAAAGGGTTGTAAATTATGACTATTAATAACGAATTTTACATTGAGGTGCACAAGGAGAGTATACAAAATGGGGCTTTTACAGGGGCACATTGCAAACACACTTTTACAAATGTCAAAAACAAAGATCCTCCCTGTAACCTTAACAGGCTTTTAGGGCAAGTGCTGTTAGCGAGCACCTACGAAGGCCAGCGTGGCACACGAGGGGGTGGGTGGCCAGCACCACGCCTGGCTGCCTTTGTCTCCACAGTGGCGCTGTTTACACATCACACCAGGTAATCATTTGAGGCCGAGTCGACCTAGGGGAGGCCCAGAACTGGTTCAGATAATCGTCACTGTTGTTGGCCGTGAGCGGGAATCGAACCTGGGTCAACCGGGTTTGCAGCGCAGCGTAGCACGCTAACCGCTGCACTACCGCAAATGTGTGCGAGTGTTCTACGCACACAGTCCCGCACACTGCGCTCACAACACACCCGTCCCATCTTCTTGGTTCTTTCGGTAAAGTCACGTAGAATGGAAATAAAAATAATAATAAAAATAAAACATTATAAAATAATTCTCACGACGTTTCGGCCACAACGCAAGCAGCCGTCCTCAGGTGAAGAACAGGTCTGAATGTCATTCGGACTCTGTCTTATCGACAGACCTGTTCTTCACCTGAGGACGGCTGCTTGCGTTGTGGCCGAAACGTCGTGAGAATTATTTTATTATTTTTTATTTTTTATTATTTTATTATTTCCATTCTACGTGACTTTACCGAAAAAACCAAGAAGATGAATCCCTGCAGTCACGAAAGCTTTCAATCGAAAAACACATCCATCCCAATCGCAAACTCACGCCTGCTCATGGTGAACACTCTCGTGCTTGCCCCCGCAATCCCACGGCCTCGAGCCCGCGAGCCAAACAACTTTCCCAGAGACTGCAGGTGTTCCCATGCACGCGAGGTTTGAGAGTATGCAGGAGCCCCCCTCTCTCCCCGTCTCCTCCGGCTGGGTCTCGGTTTGTTTCCTGTTCAGCACGCCTGGTCCCGTCAACTCGCGGCTCTCTCGCGGTCGAGTACCCCACACGCTAAGACAATTCACCCACCACCCCGCCCCCCCCGCTAACACAAGCGTTGGTGAATTGTCGCGATTCACCGCCGCTATTCGATGACGGTTATCGATTCATCTGCAACGTTTGACGCGGCCTGTTGCCGCTATTTGTCTTTGCTGGCCGAGTGGCCCTTCTAATAGAGCTGTATAGCCCAATGGGCTTCTTTACTCGGGAAGTAAAACTTCTGGACGTCTACATTTTTGTATCGTGTATATATCTCGTTTGCACTGTCATGTACGTTCTGTCTGTCGTGTCTGTTCCGTCTGTAGAATCTCTCCCATTTTTGTATCGTGTATATCTCGTTTGCACTGTCATGTACGTTCTGTCTGTCGTGTCTGTTCCGTCTGTAGAATCTCTCCCATTTTGTTTGTCGTTTCAGTTTTGTGTCACTCATTCCATGATGTAGACTTAAATCGTTAACAATTGATTGATACGCACACATTCGGAAGTACGGATATCATAAGCATAAGACTTTTAATTGATTAATTGCTACATGCCTGACATTTATCAAAAGAACTCACAAACACCTTGTGAAAGACCCAACACAGAAGATCCTTGGGTTTGATCTTCCACAAAGATCGTAGTCCACCCCAAAACCGAATCCGTACAAGCCATAGCAGCAGATGCGGATACCTGATACTCAAATGGAAAATTAAAAACTCTCCAGTGTGCGACTGTGGTCATCCAGAACAGACCATAAACAGTTTAACGACGCAATGCCCGATGCACAAATATGAAGGAAACATCACGGCGATGTACTCCACTGCCATACCAAAGAAGAGACTTCCTCCAACGATCCTGGCCTTCTACTTAAGGTGCCATTAGACCCATGGCGTTCGGATAACCACTGCATAATTATAAGGAATTGGTGACGTACAGCAGCGCTAAACCAAACACATCACACCGTGCGCAAAATCAACCGCATAGCAGGTGGCAAAGCCGCACACGTTTTGGGGGTAGGCAAATCTGGATTGAACTACGGTGACACGCAGAGTGGTATACGCAACATGCGCATGGCCCTGCTTGAATTTATTCGCACAAACTGGCGGGCGTCATGCTCATCAAAAACGGGCGTAGGTGTTAAACAAAAAAAATCAGCGGCCATAAAAAAAACCCACAGCGCGTCGAGTTTCATAAAAATTCCAACACAGCAACGTTCACCACCCCCCCCCCCCGCCACCCTCCTCAGCTGCGTGCGTGCGCGCGCACGCCACCACGTTCAGAATGAAGCTATCCAGGGCCCTACCGCACATAGAGACAATTAAAAAACTGTCAGGAAAATTGCGGGCAAAATTGCGGAAAAATTAACCTTAAGCGCGGCTTACAAACAGCAGAGCACGGGATGATTAATGAGAGGTTCGAAAATATTGTCCCCTAAGAAGCCTGCCGGCGGGCCTGGAGAAAGGGGGGGGGGGGGGTTCCATCAATAAAGCAAACCCGGGGTTTTCAAAACATTAGTTTTGACTTGTCGTCCCAGCGCACGGCAACTCCCCACTACCCCCGCCCCCGACTGCCCCTTTCCCTCGTGGGTTTTGTAGATGAAAGTGCAGCAATTTTCAAACATTTTTCTACCCCCCCCCCCACCACCACCACCACCCCTTCCATTTTCTGACGCTGGCCGCGCAAAGTTGGCAGCGCGAAAGCTTAGGCAATCAGTGTCCGTTTGAAGGAGCGGAGTTTTTTTTAATTTGAGTTCCTGTGTGAAAGAACTGCATGTCTGGGTGGGTTAACGCAAGTTCACGGCACCCGGAGGCACGAGCGATTGGCCGGTTATGAATAGCGGAATTTAGCGCAGACCGACCTTGCCCACATAGGCTACGAAACTTCACAGACGGGGCTGCCTGTGCAGTTTGAAACGTCGGGGGTGGAAAAAAAGGCCAGACAAAACACTAATGTGTCACTTGGGCTGTTTTCGTCCACATTTCCCCCTGTTTATTTTGCATGATGTTTAAATCCCACGTTAATGCGGAGCACGGTCGAAGTATTAGTAAGTTCAATTATGCCCTCGTGTTTGCACGTTGTTTAAA